GGAGGTGTTTGGGTCTTTTTGTTCCTTTTGGCTTGTTGATTGTCTCTTTCACACAGTATGTAGATGTTATTTATGTCTCTGTGTCTATTGATGGCCCATTTGTCAGATTGCCAGGCTTCCAGAAATTCTTAGCACTTTTGAATTAGGCTTGGTATAGGATGATCATAGTTTCTTAGTTGAAATTATGGTTGAGTCTGTTGATATTTTGTGAAATTAAAGAGTTTTCAGAGTTTTTCAAAAGACACCCTGACAAATGTGCCATCAACAGATACATAGACATTAACAACATCTACATACTATGTAAAAGAGGCAATCAACTTGCCAAAAAGTGAACAAAAAATAAAAAATCTGCTTATCAGCAATCAACATCTATATGAGCATAGTTTAAGACAAAAATTAACATCAGATCAACAATCAAAAAGTAAACAATATCTCAATCAAGGAACTGCTGAACAAGCTAACATTAAACAACCCAGCCAAAGAATTTTCAAGACCACTCCTACCAATACTGATAGGGCAAGCCACCACAATATAAATTTCACTCTTTGCTAATACCGGATGATGTTATTATGTCTACAAGAAAACAGCCAAATTCAGAGAGCACCAAGGACCCGTTTCAATCCTGAGCTACAAATATTCCTCTTTACCAGTAAAAACATCCATAAAATAGAAACTATACCACATTATACTATATATACAATTCTCTCTCTCTCTTTACACACTCACACACAATTTGGCATAATATTTATGCCATACTTGTTAATTTCTTCAGTTTGTGCTAAAAGAAATCAAAGTTGCTAGTGGGGCACTTTATCAAGTTGTGGAGTTATATATTTTTATATTACAATTGCCGGAAGTCCTTTGTTATTTGAAATTTCCAGAAATAGAGAGACCAAATGATATAGACTTCAATTTGACTGTTATTTAACAAAAGTAAGACAACTGTATATACCAAAGAGAAAAATCAATTTGAATAATTATCACAGATTTCTATCTTTAAGAAGATGTGAAAACTATAGAAAGCCTTTAGCAGTTAGTTCCTTAATATATAAACCACAAACAATAACTGGGACCAGGGAAAATACTGGTATCTTTTGAAATTTTCTCACCTTTCTGACAAGTTTGTCTTAACGCTGTTAGTTCTAACAAAGGGAGGCACTGAGTCATCCTTAGGAGCTGCAATCAAGCCACTGGAAGAATTGTGGTTCAGCCCACTTCCACTGCTGAGAGAAATATCAATGGATTCACAACTGGTGTGCAGGCTGCTGACAGACTGGTATCCAATCCCATCCTTGCTGACAACAGAAGAACTACTGGGGTTAGTACCCCAGGTCAAGCTGTTGGAGGGAGCCGAGTGAGCTGAACTGGGACTAGATGCCAATGGAGATTGATTTGTGTCTGTATTTTTACAATAAAGAGGGCTACTACCACCACTGCTCAATATGCCGCTGCCAGAAGGAGATTCTGGATTTCCTTGTTGGTTCATGGTTGCATGTGGGTTGGAGATGACTACTGAATTTTTCATGCTTTCTGCTGTTGTTATGGGAGGTTGTTTATTTGGCTTTCCACCAAAAAGTCTGAAGAAGAAGAAAAGGAAGTCAGATATATGGATTATTTATTTATTTATTTGTATTTATTTATTTGTATGCCACTTTTATTATATTTGCAAACCACTCAAGGAGGTGACCATATCCAACAAAGCCCCCTATTCCTATGTTCCCTGCATAGGGTGGGTTGGGCTGAGAGAGAAAGAAGTTCTAGCATAGATGAAAAAAATATCCTTAATATCCTTAATGTTATAAATTAATTTCTTCTACTGTGAACATATCTCTTTACAGCGAGGAGAGACATACTGTGCTAAATTTTAGTCCAATTGTGGTAGTATTTTGGCGTCCTAAACATAGTAGGTTTCACGTAGGTTTGCCATGCACCATGCTTCGTGAGCACATGTCCCTTCTGTGCATGCACTTTTTTTTGCGCACACAGCTTGCATGCATGCACGTGGCTTAAAAAACGTGGGTAAATAGGACAGCATAGAGTTGGAGTGGGGTGGTGGGCCCACCCGCAGGTGTCTATGACCGGTTCACCTGAACTGATCTGAACCATCTGAATAACACCTCTGGTCCTGAATAACATGTGACATTTTTTCTTTCTTGCATTTGCTTTCTTCACATTTTTAGGTGGTCAGTACAAGCAGAAACAACCAAAAGGCACTTACAAGATTTTCTTCCCATATTAGCTAAATTTTATTTTGATTTTACTAAGATAATTAGACAAATGCTCATCTAGTCACATATTAGTGGTATAGGTAAGTCCTTGCTTGATGACAATCTGTTTAGCAACTGTTCAAAATTACGACAACAACGAAGGAGTGGGACTAATGAGCAGGACTTGTATTTGCACTTGATGTCCAGCTTGCAATTATGATGTCACATATCTCATGGTCATCTGATTTCCATTTGGAGCCTATATTGCCAGCTTTCCACAAAGTCAATGGGAAAGCTGACAGGAGGTCACAAATGGCACTCATGTGAGGTTGTTTTTAATGACCATGCAGGATTCCTTTAATGATAGCAACAGAAACTGCAAGTGACTAATGGATCAAATGATGTTATAATTTATAACTATATCACTTAGCAATGGAATTGCCAGTCGTAGTTACCATTGTTAAGCATGAACTACCTGTATTTATTTTACAGAATGTGACTGCAATGGTCATAATGTTTATTAAGTATCCTATATTGTGCTGGAGAAGCTATAATCACCCTTTAAGAGAAGGCAATGTACTGTATTTACCTAAACAGCACATACAGTCCTCACTAGGAAACTCAATTTCAGTAACATTCCTTAATATCTCTACTACATTTATAGGTAGGAATGAGAAAATATATAACAATAGACCTTTGTCTGCCCATTATATGCCTAGCCAATCGTTTTTGGAACAGATAAACTAGAATAACTGGATGCTCTTCATTTCCTCTTAAAATCCTATCAATCGTGCAACCTGGAAATTACCAGAATTATAAGTCCAACATATTTGGAGGATGTCAAGAAGAAAACAGTGTTTTGTATAATGGTGCAACTACAGAACTTTATTGATAAATTCCTTTTGTGTCCAATCACACTTGGCCAATAAAGAATTAATTAATTAATTCTTTATCTATCTATCTATCTATCTATCTATCTATCTATCTATCTATCTNATGACTGATCCATGTACAGGAAAGAATGAATGTGGCCATGTATAGTGAGGTTTTGAATAGGCTTTGCAGGCCTATTCCCCCCGGCTCTATTTAGTTCTTTACTGCGCAAGGCCAAAGCCACCGCAAACCTGGACCCCCCCACCGGCTGCAGAGCAGAGCTCAGCTTCCCCTAGCACGAGTGGGGAGAAGAAAAGGAAGCAGGGTCCTTTCTACAGACCCCAGGTGGAGAAGGAGGAGATTTCCACTCTAGACCTCTTCTTGGGGGTACTTAAATCCCACTGGTCCAAGCCGGGTTCCTTTCCCACGCCAGGGAGAAATGATCGTAGGTTTTATAACCTCAATGCCTTTCTCCCAAGCATTACGGATTCCCTCTGTAGATGCCCCAGTAGCAGCCTTGGCCTCTACTTCCACCGTGGTAACAGGAGATATCTCCAACTGCCTGAAGGCAGAGGACATGAGAGCGGAGCTGGTCATGCGAAGGACCTTTCAGGCCATCTCTTGGGCGATCAGGGCGGCAACAGCCACCTCCTTCTTCAACAGATCCACCCTCCTATGGTTGGAACAGATCCGGGACAGGACACCAGCATCGGATGTCAGACTGCAGCAGGACATTACCAAGCTGTTGGCAGCTACCCAGTTCTCGGCGGATGCGACCCTGGATGCGATAAAGTATTCCTCCAGGGCTTTGTCGTCCTCAGTAGCTTCCAGGTGCCTCTTGTGGCTTCGACACTGGTAGACTGAGTCCCGGACGAAATGGCACCTGGCGGAGGCGGGGTACACAGGAGACAAGCTTTTTGGAGCTGCATTGGACCCCATCCTCATGGAGGATAAAAACAAAAGGAAGGTCTTCCCGTCCACCACCAGACGTGCAGACCACCGAGCGGCACCCTACACCAGGAGAGCCCCTTACCGGCCACCGGAGCAAGACAACCAACCACCAAGGAACTCCGCTCCCAGGTACTCCAGACAGGGGGACAGGCAGTTCTCCAGGGAGAGGTTTAGACCCCCAGCAGACCGGCAAGCGGCCCTTTTGAGTGGGGGGGGGGCAGCCACTCCTTTTGCAGGGGTAAGTGATTCGGGCTCGAATCTACACATCGGCGGTCGCCTCTCTTGCTTCACAGACCGCTGGGAGGGCATCACCTTGGGTGCCTGGGTCCTCCAGGCCATCAGATCGGGACTCCATCTGGAGTTCCATTCCCTTCCACCCAGTAGATTCCGCACCTTTCCCTCCTCCGAGAACCCGGCTAAGCGCGCACTCATGCACGAAGCTATCCGCCATCTTCTGGACATTAGTGCCATAGAACTGGTTCCAGAGGGGGAGAAGGGATCAGGGTTCTACTCACACCTTTTCCTAGTTCCCAAGGGTTCAGGGGGGTGGAGAGCCATCCTAGATCTTAAGCTCTTGAACTCCAGAATAGTCTACCGGAGGTTCAAGATGGCTTCCCTCAAGTCCATCTTGGAAGGGGTCAGGCAGGGAGATTTCCTAGCCTCCATCGACCTCATGGAGGCCTATCTTCACATCATGATTGCCCCTGACCATCGGAGGTTTCTCAGGTTCTCTTACTAAGGAGACCATTACCAATACAGGGCCCTTCCCTTCGGTCTGGCTTCTGCTCCCAGAACCTTCACAAAGGTAATGGCCGCGGCCTACCTCCGTTCCTTTCCGGTTTGCCTCCACTGTTATTTAGATGACATCCTCGCCCTAGCCCCCTCAGCTCCCCACACAGAGAGGGGTCTCACTATTACCATCAGTACCTTGTCATCACTGGGGTTCTTGATTAATTTCGAGAAGAGTCACCTAACTCCCTCCACCAGGCTCCAACATCTGGGAACGATTATAGATTCAGTGGAGGGTAGGGTCTTTCTATCCCAGGAGCGCAGGGACAGCATCGTGGAATTGGTCCAGGAGATTCGCAGGCTTCGATCTGTTCCCGTAGCACTTCTCTCCAGGCTCCTTGGGAAGCTCATATCCTGCATCAGGATCGTCCCCTGGGCGCACCTCCACGCCAGAGACCTGCAGTGGTTCCTCCTTCCCCACCAGAGGAATGGAACATCCGACGCCAGCTTCAAGGTCCTAGTGACCCCACAGATACTGCTCTCCCTCCGCTGGTGGAGGTCCTCCTCCCTGGCGAAGGGGTCTCTTTTCAGGGAACCGGACAGGCTGGTCCTCACCACGGATTCAAGTCTGTTTGGCTGGGGGCCCCACCTGCAGTCCCAGTTAGCCCAGGGCCAGTGGACGCCGACGGACCTGCGGAAGAACATCAACTGGCTGGAGCTAAGGGCAATCCACCTAGCCCTTAGCCGGTTCAAACAGACAGTCGCCGGGAATCACATCCTGGTTCTCACGGACAACATGGCGGCAAAGGCTCACATCAACAAACAGGGAGGCATTCACTCCGCGGCTCTTCGCGACGAAGCGAAGCACCTGGGGTGCTGGGCGGAGCAGAACCTTCTGTTGATTCAAGCAGAGCACATCTCCGGAGTTGAGAACCAGCAGTCAGATTGGCTCAGCAGGGAGACGGTGGACCACAGGGAGTGGCAACTTCATCCCAGCATCTTCGCCCAGATCAGCCAAAGGTTCGGTCTTCCAACGGTGGACCTCTTCGCCTCTCCATCGAACGCACAGGTGCCGAATTTCATATCCCGGTTTCCCACCCGGGTGGCGGTGGACACTGACTCACTATGTTGCAGGTGGCCGGCAGGCCTTTTGTACGCCTTCCCTCCGCTCCCTCTCATCCCAGGGGTCGTGAGGAAGCTAGTGGCAGAGAGGACAGAGATCATCCTAGTAGCCCCTCACTGGCCACGGCGACCCTGGTTTGCGGATCTGGTGGAGCTGTCACTCCTCCCTCCCTGGCGCATCCCGCAGGAGAGGATAGAGCTCCGCCAGGGGAGCCTGATCCACCCAGACCTGGAGTGGCTCAATCTAACCACCTGGGGCTTGAGCGGGAGCAATTGAGGGTGTCCCAGATCTCTTCCAGAGTCATCAGCACCCTGGAAGCTTCCAGAAGGAAATCCACCACCCGCATTTACGACCCGACGTGGACCGCCTTCACCAACTGGTGCCAGCCCAGGCAGGTAGAGCCGTCATCAGCCTCCATCCCTCAGGTACTGGACTTCCGCCAGGACGGCCTGGATAAAGGTTTGGCGCACAACACCCTACGCAGACAGGTATCGGCTTTAGCCACTATTCTCCGAAGGGAGGGTTCCCAGTCCATTTCCCAGGTCCCAGTCATCAAAAGATTCCTCAAGGGAGCGGCCAACCTCCGGCCTCCAGTGATCCACCAGTTCCCTTCCTGGGACCTACCCACGGTGCTCCAGGCATTCCTAGAGCCGCCCTTCGAACCCCTTAGGGAGGTTACTCTTCAACTTCTCAC